ACCCCCCTCCCTATGGAAGTGCTTGCTGTTGGCATCGCAGCTGCTGATGAAAACGGCCTAAGGTGGCACGCAGGTACCGCCGGGAAAGTTGGGAGAAGTTACCGTTCATCACCTCCCTCGACCTAAAAATAAACGCGGGGCAAAGCGGGCCTTTTCGCTGTTCTCCCCCCCTTCCTCCCCGACCCCTCAGAATTTTAGCTTGTCCTCTTCGGAAACACCGCGTTAAAAATTGCACGCGCTGCCAGCTACGGCTTGTGGCTGGACTGTTTTCCTGGGAGCCGTTTCATCACAAGAAGAAAGTCTCCGTTGTTTCACTTCCTGGCTTCGTGGGAAATTAAATTACATCTTTGTGACGTTCGTAATAAGGACTGCTACCTGTCTGTATTTGGAGATACAGGTAAAACGTATAGCTCCATCAATCCATACGCACACACATGCACGTGTGAAGGTACATTCATATGTATATAAAGACATCGCTTTTGCCCAAGCGTGCAAAGATGACAGGGACCAGCTGGATTGCTGACGTGACTCCTTTGGCCCTGTCACTGAACACGTACTCATTTCTGCCCAATTGAAAAAATAGCTGCGTGCTAAATGTTTGCATTACAAAGTCTCCAAATGACTGCAAAGGTGTGCCGCTCGCAGGACTTCAGATACAGGAACCTTTCTGTTTATGCACTGCCTAACACAGAAGAAAGTACCTTGAACTTTGTGAAACTCGGGCCAGTTAGCGTAACTGAACCCAAAGCGTTGGGTACCGCACGGGCCCAGGCTTGGCTGGAGCAGAGGGGCGGCAGAGGAAGGGGGAGTGACCGGCCGAGGCCTTCGCCAGGGTTGCCAGGTTGCCATCTGGTCTGCTAACAAAAAAAAAAAAAAAAGGCCATCACCTGAAATAATTACCGTGCATGTGCCGATCTGCTGCGCACGCGGTGGCTGGGACGAGTCTAGGATGTGTCAGAGCCACCGCGCACGTGCACATCGAGCCGCGCGTAGACATGTGAGGATGCCCTGGGCTCGGATCAGCCGTGGGTGGAAAAGCGCTGTCGCGCCCCACAGCAGAAAGACTCGGTGAAATCACTAGGTTCGCTTGTCCGCACGTGGTTCATCCAGTCCTCCGAGGTAAACACCGCTTAACACCTCTCAATTAACCCTCGGTAGCTGAGTTTGGGGCTTTGCCTTTTATGCAAAGGGAGGTGCGGGTTTAACTCTGCGTGTGTGACGTCCTTCCTGGTTGTGTTTTGTACTGATGTTGTTGTCACAACGTAAAATCCTAGTGGAGGCAGGGCGAAATTCGTTTCGGTGTAGCGAGGCTGCTGAGGGACTTAGGCCCATCAGTTACATTACCGCGTGCTACCTCCGGCTACATGTCCGAACAAAGCTAGGCAGGTCTGCTCTGTAAACTGCTGCTGCCATTGCTGTGGCAATCAAAGGTGTGGAGAGGTACGTAGGATTGAAATGCGCTTGTGAACAGCGAGCCGAAGTGGAGGTACGATTGCGGGAAACGGTTTTTGCTAGCGTTGTTTGTATTACTCAATGAAGGCAGGGGGACAAGCCAGGAGAAGTTGTGCCACCGAGCGTGACCCCAGGGTAGGAGTGCCTTGCTGATGGGGGATGCTTCAGCAGCTCTGGCAGGAAAACTTTCACGTTTATGTCTGGCCGAGGCTACCCACCTCATTATAAATTGTCTCTTTCTGAAAAACACACGTTTTTATAGCAAAGACACAGCATTAGATGAACAGGTCCTGTAAGTACCATTGTATCGTGATACCACCGAAGCAGTCTGTGTAACAGAAATACTAAGAAATAAGGTGATTCCTGATCCTATCTGCGGTGGGATCCAGATACTTTCTCTTTTACGACGTTAGTCCAGAACCCTGCCGGTTAACGATCGTTCGCTAAGTTGTAGAAATAAATGAAAAGTCTAGGTTTTGTTCTCTTTGGACGTGTTTCTGCGTTGCAGAAACGATCGAGCTACCACAAAGACTTCATTTAGTAAACGACGTCGGCAGCACGTTAACCGTTTAAATGTCTGGTGCATTGCAACACTTTGGCTTTAACCAGGGCGAAGCTGCTAACAGTACGCTGCAGTCGACACCTGCTCGCTCCGGTCTGCTGCTCTGAGCCCTGGGGAAGGCCTGGTGCTGGGCACATCCCATTGAACTATCCCCGCTGCAAGAGCGGCCAGCTGCAGCGGCAAGGTGCGGGGGGGAGCTGGGCGTCCTCAGCACATCAGGCGCCCGCTGTACTCTGCTGCACGGGCGTGAGTATTCACCGAAGCAGTTCAGAAATAGCTGGGTTTTTTTCTTTCTATATTAAGAAAACCCGAGATAATTTTAAAGAGTTATAGACGGGACCTAAAGCAAGTGGCAAAATCAGGATTACGTCATACAAATACGCGACTCCCAGTTTTTTTGTACTAAACGTGGCTGAACAACAAAAAAAAAAATAGTTAGCATAAGCTAACGAACGCGTTGTGGAAGTCTAGTTTTAAACCTGAAATATTTGTTTCTCCTTTTCATCCGTTTTGCTTACTTGTCATCTCGTAGCTCTGACTCTCGTCAGGCAGCAGCACAGCCTGGATGTTGGGTACGACATAGCCTCGAGCAGCGCTGACTTTCCCGGCGGTTTGGTGGGACGCTCGCTGCTGGGGCTAGCCCTCGCTTCTTGTCTGGAGCAGCGTTCCCGGCCAGCTGGAGAGTTTCAGCCATCGGGCGCTCCGGAGCGACGGACGCGTAGCGTAAGCTCAGCGTACCTGCTCTTTTTGGAGGCAGCACGGTTCACGGTCGTTGAGAAAAAAAAGTTTAAAAAGTTAAAACGTTTCGGCTCTTGGTTTTCTCACCTGCTTTCCAGCACGAGATATCAGGACTCGCGTTCTGCAACAGCTGCTCCCCGCACAAACTACTCTGGGATATGTGTATGGACATGGGCTAATACGGTCGTGCCCGAGGCCAGGCGCCCCGTCCCCTGCCTGCTTTAGCTTGATTAGTTTAGTATGTGTTAAAGGCAGCCTTGCCTGCGCTGTGATGTATGTGCTAACATCACACCTTTACACCTTCGCCTCGCCAAAGCCTAAGGCCTTTTCATCATATTAAGCTACTTTGGCTGGGCTGATGTGGCTGAGAAACACACCTTTTTTATCCATTAAGCCAGGGCCAAAAATGTTAAGTGCTCAAGATGCGAGCCCCCGGGGCTTGTCTGAATATCGAGTTATTACACGTGGAGGCTTTTATCTTCATAAGAAAATGTTCTTTTTGTGCAAGCCAACGTGTGAATTTAAAACTAGTGGTTATACTATAGCCCTCATGTAGACTTATTCATTCTGGCAACGTCTGGCTTTTTTCAGATTAACTCTAACTTCTTTCCACGTAATTTAAATGAAATCAAAAAACGTACTCATATCAGAATAATTTCCTCACATGAGGAATTAGGCTTGCCCGACCTATAGGACTGGCAGTAGCATTAATAATATTTTCCTACATGGAGAAGTTTTATCAATTAGGAATATTAATTTTGCGCGTTTGCACTTAATAAAAGCGTCACTTGCTTACATTGGGGTCTGACTATTTTAAGAAGTATTACCTATACTGAGGTTCAGGAAAAGTGTTTTGCCATACAAAGGCCGTGATCCTGGAGATGCTAAACTGGGCAGATAAGTAACTAGTCACATGAAGAGTTTTACTGAAGACAGCTACCTACCTGACTAGAGTTTGTTCTGGGTTTAAGCATTTCCAGGAATGCTTAAATTCTCTCCTCCAACTAGCAGTTTGTATAGTCTTTTTCTTACGAAGAACAATGGACTGCAGGTACTGTGTTACGCTGCATATAGTAAGAGCATCCGTAAGAGGTTACATAAAGCATCCGTAAGTCACTTGCGAGCTTCATTCAGTTCCACTAATTTGTGGCTCCTCATGTCTCATTTACAACTTCCTGACACTCATGTCATAATCATTAATGTTATGAATTTTAATTTTGACATATTTGGGGGAGTGGGCAGTGGGGAGAGGATCTTGTATGGAAGATTACGAGTTGCGTTTTATTTTATTTTTTTTATCCAAAAAGGTAGCATGCCAATAGTTTGAGTAAAATCTGATTAGTATCTGAAACCAGTACATCTCTTGGGCTAAACGCCGGCTGGGTAGCAGATACATGCAAGCCAAAGCACAGCCTGCAGCAAGCACACGCGGCGGTAGCTGGCCGTCTTGCGCGCACCTCCGGGGAAAGGCTAGGAACTGGCTGGTGTGAAGTTAGGGCTTTATCGTGCAGAAAGTTAAATAAACGCCTGAGTAGTGTTTGCTGTTGGCAGGAGTGGTGCCTTGCGCTCAGGTTGCTTAACAGGAGTAATGAGGAGCTGGCCGTGGAACGGGGGGAATGAGCCGTTTGTGTGCATTTGATCATAAATTATTGTGAGCAGCACTATATTTTTTTTTCTGGGTTTTTTATAGCACCTAGCACATGCAGGTCCTGGTTCCGGATAAGAGATCTTGGGTGCTATGACAATAGGCATTTAGATACTATTAGCAGAGGTAACCTTGTCATTTATTTCTGGTTTCGCCAGGAACTAATCTCTGTGCCAGGCTGGATGGCCTCACTTGTAAAGGAACGAGAAAGGGGGAGAGGCTGGTGTCGAGGGCTGACGCCTGGTAAGCGCCGGGAGCCCAGTCCTGTTTGCAGCTCTTTGCTTCGGTGGGACGACTTGTCTGAGTAAGAAGAGCAGAATGCGGTTTTTGAAGTTAGTGGCAGACAGTGAGTGGGGACATGTCTCCTATATGAGGTCCAGTCAGAATTCAGTCCTTTACTTCTTTAGTTGATGTTTTAAACCGATTAGCTACCTGCCCCTATGGAAAGAATAGTAGAGCCTCCACAGTCAAGACTACATGGAAATCCCTAAATTTTATATATATAATAAAAGCAGAGCATGCATTTTCTAGCAGAGAACAGTGTTATATTTCAACCTCAAGCAAAAATTTTCTCCAAGCAATAGCCCCTCAACGAAAACAAACTTTTAATGAAAGTCCTGACAGCACCTTAATTACAGCGGAGCAAGCATTACCATCCTAATCCCGTTTCATCCTTAGGCAAGGAGAGCCGCCTCCGGGCCCTGGCTGCCTCTTTTTGCTAGCGACCAGCTTTGCAGAAACTGCCTTTTCCCCTGCTGCCCAGGAGCGACGCGCACCCGGGGGGTGCCCGTCCCGCAGCCAGCCCCTCGGCATCCCCCAGCCCCACGGTGCCTCCCGTGGGAGCCTGGCAGGAGCCAAAGCTTCACCTTCAGCCCCTTCACGCCGCACCGGTTTCGCCCTGACTCTTCCTGGCAGCCCCCGGGCGGGCTGACTGCTGCGCGTGTGCCAGCGTTCGCAAACAATCTCCTTTTTTCCTGGCCTGCCACACGTTAGTAAAATCCTTGCTTTGGATCCAGTAACGCAGAGGGGTACTGCTCTCCCAGTGGCAGCCCTAATCCGAGGGGGGGGGTGAGGATGGCTGTCTCAAAGGAAGGGCTGTGGGCATGCTTGAGCAGCCTGCAATGTGCCTGGCTGTAATGTGTTTGTTTAAAGCAGCCTTTGCAGGCTCTCCAGGCTTTCAAAGAGTTTGAATGGGTAAGTAAAATGTGATTAGTTTCTCACTACCGTATTGATTCAGTGAGTAGATTGTGCGTGTCGACTGGGATATCCATAGGATAAATTTGCAAGGCTCTTTGAAGCTGGAATCTTTTTTTTTTTTCCCTACCAGAAACATGGTGAGATATATGTATATATGTATTTATTTATATTTATATAAACACAAGGCGATACTTGTGGTTCTTACTTTTTTTTTTCTCTTGCCTTCTTAAATCATTGTTATAAATCTGTCTGATCAAAAGAGCTAGAATAATCAATCTCTCCTTACATAATTGATCTGAGAATCCTAATTAAGCTAGGGAGGAGTTAAACATAAGGTCTCTTGTTCTCTCTACAGCATTATCAAGTACAGTACAGTCTTCTGTTAGGGAACTCCTACAATTCTTATGTCCAGAGTAAAATCGTGCAGCTGAGATACGTTTCCTAAAAACACACTAAAGCCCTATATCTGCTGGGAGGACATTTCTGTTATTCTGTTCCCTTCTATTTAGGTTCTCATATGGTGTT